GGGCTGGTAAAGCACTTGTCACGCAAACATGATAGCATCCACGAGAAAAAGCAAAGAGTTGCAGAGCCCATCTGTAACCCCACTGTTGGTAAATGCAGAGACAGGAGGATTTCTGGGGGTTATTGGCCAATCAGTCTAGCAAAATCAACAAGCTTCAGGTTCAGGGAGAGACCCCCATCTCAAAAACTAAGGTGCTTTGGGAGTCTCTTGGACAACTTCACCAACAGCCCCAAAGGCAGCTGCTCATGTCTGGCCTTGGTGGTTTTGTTAGGGGGTCTTTGGCTTTTAGAAGGAGCACTGTCAGCTCAGATAATTAAACTTCATTTAAATTATACATCCATATTTACACACAGAATCATGTATTATAGGGTTCTTTTTAAAAGATAATTTGCTAAGGGTATGATTGTTTATACCGCCTATTGCTATTGCCCTTGGCTGTCCCTCAGAAGTGAGACACCATCACTTCAGACACAGAGGTTCCTTAACTGGAACTGACCTGAAGACCAGCTTCATGGTACAAGTCAGTGCTGTGCAAGCTTCCAAAGAAGGGAAGCAACCAACAGCCCTACCTAGCTATAACTCATGTGACTCAAGACAACCAGCCTGGCTTGACACGCTAAGGGTGCAGTAGTGGTGCACACAATGTGCTAGCTACCAACAGCTCTCTAGTTGGACTTCAGACCTGTTCAACAAGAGGGAAATCATGCCTGGTACTGCAAACCTAGACAACCGTGAAGGGCTAGCAAAGTTATGGATCTTGGAGAAGAACCTACAGTTACCATTGTATTAACCAGCACAATCCCTAACCAAAGGCTCGGGGGAACATTCTGGAAGAGAGGGGAGAGGATCAGGGAATTTACGGTGTCTTCTAATAATATCAGAAGCTTTAGCCATACAATCTCACCAACATGACTGTCTAAACATGAGCTGAACAAGGACAATCCAAAGTGGATGGGGAAAGTTCATGGGACCTCAGCCCTACACAAAGAGTTACAGGCAACTAAGGAATTCTAAGAGTGGGAGAAACAGTCTTCCTCAGGGAAGAGCACAGCGCCTGCTTATCCAACACCAAATGGTCAGCCCTGAAGAATCACAGGAGTAATATTAAATAGACTGAGCATGTTGTATTTGGAAATATGTATGTATATACATACACATATATGTATATAACAACACTATTAGTGAAAAAAAGAGGCCATGAATTTGGAAAGAAACTGAAGAAGAGACCTAAAGTCAAATTCTAGCCTAGATGCGTGTGCGTGTGTGCGTGCGCGCGCGCGCGCGCACGCACGCACACACACACACACACACACACACACACACACACACACACACAGGAGAAAGGATTAAACAAATGAAGAGGTCCCCCAGAGCTGGATGCAGCTCAGTAAAGCCTTGGATTTCATTCACCCCTTCCACCAGGGTCCCCCCAAAGCAAACAACAACAAAAGCCCCAGATGCCCTCTGGAGTTCAGTGGCCCTCCCTGCCATGTGGACAGAGTGCGAAAACACTGTCTACGAAGCAGGAAGGGGACCCTCGCCACTCACAGAATCTGCCCAGGTCTTTCGTCTTAAATCCCTCAGCCTCCAGGACGATGAGAAACACATTTCCGCCATTTATGAGCAACACACGGGGCTTGTGATGTGTGCATACAGCTGTCCACAGGGACAAAGGCAGAGACTTCCTGAGAATTATGTCTCGCTGCTGCTTAGCTCAAGTCAAGTGTGTATGGTCAAAGCAAGGGGAGAGAAGTCTTTGTGCCTAAACTGAGGGCAAGGGACTTGAAGAAGTACTTGTGAAAATGAGGAGGCCCTGCAGCAGAATTAGAAAGGTCACCACAGCAACCAGCTCTGAAAGGAACCGTCAGGGACTGGGGAACGAACCCTGGAACCACAGCTGTGTGAGCTGCCAGACAGCCTGGGCTGCTTACCGTGGGGGGCTGGAGATAATGTCACATCCATCTCTGACCTTTCCTTTGCCAGCCTCACCCGTGGTCCCTTCCCCTTGATCAAATACTCTCCCAGACCTTGACATTAACAAGGACAAGCACTGTGACAATTCAGAGACCAGTTGAAAGTGGGTCGTTCCCTGTCACTAATCTGTGTGAGTCAATGACGTTAAAAAAAAAAGAAGAAAGAAAGAAAGAAAAAAAGAAAAAAAGAAAGAAAGAAAAAAAGAAAGAAAGAAAGAATTCATTTCCTTTTTTACTTTCGGATGAGACTGTGCTGAGAGCACAGCAATATAGACAGGAACCTTCTAGAACGCGCAGTCCCTGTGATGGTGGGGGAACTGCTTTGTCTGGAACCCTGGCTTTCTGTCCCCTGACCCTAACACCCCCTCACCTAATATGCTGTCCATCAGGGAACAACAGGGGTGAACCTAGGCTCCCAAAACTAAAGTCTGAAAAATAACACAGGCTCCTCCTCCATTTCTCCTGCTAAACTAAGCCAGCGTTCTTCATCAGCTTGCCACAGGGGACTGAGGGGACAGTGCCTCAAAACTCAGAACTGAATTTAAAGTAAGGAGCAGGGGAACCCCCAAAACATCAAGACCAGATGTTTAACACAGTTTGCCACTAACTTTTGGGGACACTGGAGGGAAACTAAAATCAAACCCAGAGCTTGCACACACTAGACAAGCATATCCACCAATTCTTTCCCGCTGGCTGCAAACTTTTCTGGTTAGCTTTCTTTTTAAAAAGATTATGTTTTATTTGAGTTTCTGTGTGAGTGTCTGTCACGTGTGTGTGTGTGTGTGTGTGTGTGTGTGTGTGTGTGTGTATGTGTGTGGAGAGGTGCCCACAGAGCAAAGAAGAGGGTGTCAGGTCCCCTGTAATTGGAGTGTTGTAGGTCGCTGACCTGGGAGCTAGAACAGGGTCTCACTGCAGAGCCCTGGCTGGCTGAAAACTCACTGTGTGGACCAGGCTGGCCTTTGACTCACAGCAATCCACCTGCTTCAACCTCTACAGTGCTGGGAGTAAAGACGTGTGCTACCATTCAAAGCCAGCCTCCAGTTAACTCTTTTCTCCTTTATATTTATTTATTTTATGTGTACCAGTGTTTTGCTTCTGTGCATGTGTGTCTGCCATACGTGTACTTAGTATCCATAGAGGACAGAAGACGGTGTCTGATGGCCTGGGACTGGAGTTACAGATAGTTGAAAGCTACCATGTGTATGCCAGGAATTGAACCCAGGTCTTCTGTAAGAACAAGTGCCCTGACCACTGAGCAATCTCTCCAGCCCCTCCAGTTAACTAAGAGACTGCCTACTTGAGAGTTTCGCTAGTCAGCCCAAAAAACCAACCATCCAAATAGAGTAATAGGCCTCTGGACACAGTCCAGTGGTAGAGCACTTGTCTAGCGTGTACAAGGCCCTAGGTTCACTCCCCAGCATCGAACATAAAACAAACAAACAAACAAACAAACAAACAAAGGCCATACATACAGAGAGACTCTAACAGGGTCAGATAAATAAAAACTTCGGGTTTGATCTTAATCAACTGTTAGGCAACTGACTTATGGTCAGCACTTAGCGATGTGAGAGACACATTCCATTGTCTTTAGTTCCAGTTGACAGCTGGACACACTATATTCAACAGGGATCTTTAGTTGTGAACAACAGGAATCAAGTTGGGTTGACAAATGTACAAACTTCCTAGAGAAGTTGTAGTTCAGCTATCCATGGGAAGATGAACGATTCTGACATTAAAACAGGCACCCTGCAGACTGCAATGCGCTGAGTCCCGAGCTCATCAGCTGCCATGATGGGAATATCAGCCCCAATATCTTCCCCCTGCCAGCATTACCAAGCCAGGACTCAGCGCAGGGACAGGCCAGGGATGCATGACAGTGGGGGCCAAGGTCCCTTGACGACCTGGGACACGGCCTCAGAGGTACACTCACTTTGTAAAATGAGATCCACAGTACATTGGTGACATTGCAGCTTCCTGAGTGGATGCTATGCTTCAACTAGTAAAGTAGTCGGACTGGGAAGATGGTTCAGCAAGCAAAGGGGCTTACTGTGCCAGAGTGAGGACCTCAGTTCAATCCCCAGCAACCACCAATAATCCTAGAGTGGGATGGATGCCGGAGTCAGTGTAGCTCAAACAGTGACCTTGTCTCAACAACTAGAGTGGAGGTGGAAGAGAACGGTACCTGACATCAGCTTCTGTATCTGTGCACATGCAAGCACATATGTGAACACACAGTGCACACACCCTCCTGCACCTAGCCTAGGAACCAGCAATTCAGCTCCTAACAGAGGCAAACCCGACAAAAGAAGCCAGGCATGATGGCCCACACTTGCAATGCCAGCATTAAGGAGGCTCATGAGCTTAAAACCAGCCTGAGCTACCAAGTGAAACTTCATCTCAAAAATAAATAAACAAACAAATAAAAAGTCTCCTCTATCTGAGCTCATCGGAAGGGACAAGCCAGGTTTGGGGACTTTATTATATGTGCAGCGTTGTGCAAATGGTGGGATCTGAGCCTCAAAACCACAGAACAGGACCAGAAACAAGGGTTGGAGCAGGCTCACCGAAGAACCCAACTGTTGGATTCTTCAAAGGGAGCTACTAATTCAGTGGAAAGCCACATCCCAGAGAAGACTGCGACACAGAAACAAGTGTCGGTTAGTGCCACCATGGGACGTGTGAAGATGTAAATCTAAAGCGGGTGGGGTGGGAGGTAAAGGAAAATACAGGAGAGTAAATGAGGAAACACAACCCACAAACACACGCCACCCCACACTAAACAGATCAGCACGCCAGGCCAGGCGGCAGGAACTAAAAGCGTGGATAATGCGAGTGCAGGGAGGACTGGGAGAACGCAGAGGCACACCCGGAGCTTCAGACTTCAAGGAGCAACAGTATGTGACCCCTGTCCTTCATTCCTGGGAACAACAGCCCAGGGAAACTTGCACTTGGAAAGGATGCTGGCCATAGCCTAAGAAGGTGCAAACAGCCCAGTGTCCATCTGCAAGTGGAAGGGACAAATAAGGTGGACATTTTACCGAGAGACACAGAAGAAACCACAGCAACAAGCAAGTAGTGGGTAAGCCCCACAATACACACGCACACCATGTGGCTATTAAGAAAGTGGATTATGTATGGCCCCACTTACAAAAGCTTAAATGCATGCAAAAATCAAACAGGACAATAAAGCTATAAACCTATGTGGTTAAGCTATAAAGAGCAGTTAATGATTAAATAGCATTAGGGCCAGAGTGTCCCCTGGAGACAGGGTGGACAAATCTGTTTAAGGAGAGGTATAAAATCAGTGTGTAAAGTTGGTCAGGCACATGGCTGCCTTATCATTCTGCTCAAACTGCTCACATGTGTCCGTGTGCCTCTGTGTGTGTGGATTTGATAATTATTTAAAAATTAATAACTTCTACCTAGGCACTGTGATGGATACCTGTGTTCCAGCAACTTTAGAGGCTGAGGAAGATACCTTAAGTTGGTGAGTTCAAGACCAGCCTAAGCAACATAGTAAGACTGAGAAGAAGGAAAAAGAAATCAGTAACTTTCTTTTATTTCAAAAATATTTAATCACCAAGAAAATGAGGATGGAAGGATAATTCAATAGTAAACTGAGGCCCTAGGTTCCATCCCAGCACCAAAAAAAGGAAGAGAGGGAGGGAGGGAGGGAGGGAGGGAGGGAGGGAGGGAGGGAGAAAGTGGAAGGGAGGGAGGTCTGAATGGGCAGCTGAGAAAAAGCACTCCATTACCAAAAGCAACACAACCTACAAACTTGAGGCTGACAGATGGCTCCATGAATCAAGAGGCTTACCACCAAACCTGTGTACGATCCCTGGGACCCGCATGATAGAAAGCAGAGCCACCTGCACATTCACATGCTGAACAAATATGTAATTTTCAAATTGTCTTTAAAACGCCTAAGAAGAAATGTGCACCGCCCCCATTAAAAACAATCATAACAGGCGATGACAGAAAGAAGACATGACTTAAAGAAAGACTGTGTTCCTGGACTGGAAAACTCTTACCTATTCATTATTTCACAAATGCAATTCCAAATGGGATTTTAATGATACTTTTAGAAAATGCAATGAAATAATCATAGGGCTTCATAAAGATTAATGAATACATAGGCAAGCATAACCAAGGAAATTAAGAACAAGGGTTTGCATGTCCAGACATTAACATATATAAAGTCATAATAAAAGTGCAACAGTAAAGCAAGGCATGGTGGTACATGTCTGTGATCCTAGCACTTAAGAGGTACACACAGGAGGACAGAGTTGAGAGCCATCATCTGCTACATAGTGAGTTCCAGGCCATCCTGAGCTGCACAGTGAGATCCTGTCTCAAAACAAAAAACAACAACAAAAAATAAAAGTAACAGAGGAGGGAAAAGGAGAGAGATTAAAGAAAAAAATAGAAAACCCAGACACTTGCGTGTTTGTTTCCTATAGTAAAGCTGACTTTCAATGTCAGTAAGAAGAAAGGGGAAAGGACCTGTCAGATGAGTAGACCTGGTTACTGCACTCAGGGGCTGAGGGATATGGGAGGAAGGGAACTCTCAACATCTGCCTTTTATACCTTGAATTTTTAACAGTGTGGCTATTCAGACTAAACAGTCCTGTCAGCTTGACAAGCGCTGGAATCATGATGGAGATGCTTCTGGGCACATCTGTGGGAGATCACCTTGACTGGGTTAACTGAGGTGGAAAGATCCTCTTAAATGTGGGTGTTAACATTCCCTAGGCTCAGGTCCTGGGAGAGAGAGAGAGAGAGAGAGAGAGAGAGAGAGAGAGAGAGAGAGAGAGGAAGCTAGCTGAGCACCAAGCACTGATCACTTCATGTTTCTGCCTACAGATATCATGTGACCAGCTGCTTCAAACTCCTCAGCCACTCCCTTTCCGCCAACACAGACAGCAAACTCAAACCGTGAGCTAACTTCCTTAACCTTAAGTGGTTTTTGTTGGACATTTTTCTGAAGCAACCCGAAACGCTATCAATTCAGAAAACTGGTACCAGAAGTCAGACCACTGCTGTGGTAAGTGTGGATCTTAAGCCTTTGGAACCGGCTTGTAGGAGTAACGTAGAGTCCGGAACCTGGGCTATGAAAGCCCTCAAATACTGTGAGCGACAGTTAACAGGCCAGTCTGGTGGGAGTTTTGAGGCCTGGCTAATGATATTTCAGATATAAAATCGAGGAAGAGTCTAACCTCCCATCCTAAACCAAAATAAATTCTGACAGAACTAGAGAGAAAACACGGAACAGAAAGAAACAGGAGAAAATGGCAGAGAATACTTAACCAACCTTAGAACAGGGACAACCTTTCAACCCGAAAGCAAAGGAAGAGCTGTTGAAACAGGGGAAGGACTAATGGATCCAACCACAGGCACCACCTGTGCTGGTCCGCCTGGGCTTCCATAACACAGTACCATAGATGGAGGGCGTAAATTGGGCATTGGTTTCTCTGAGGTCAAGAAGCCTGCTGACTGGGTTCCTGCTGAGCGCTCACGTCCTGAGGGTGGGGTGGGGGTAGATAGCTACATTACCTGTGTCTTCAGGACCTTCTGGTAGGTCATGAGGGGTATGGAGGCAGGAAGCACAAGGAAGCTGCTGTCTCTTCCTTGGACAACAATCCCACCCAACAGGAGTTTGACCCTTATTTCGCCCATCCCTCCTTCCTTTTTCTTTCTGATAAAGAACATTGAACGCAGGGCCCAGAGCTCCAGGAATGCTGGGTAAGCATTCTAAGATCCAACCTTCCAGGGCTTTTATGAACTCCTTACTGCATGCACTTGGTTAGAGGCCCTGGACAGTTTGCTGGCTAGAGTCATTTGGGAAGAAAGCCCCTCCATTGAGGAAATGACAGGAACCAGATTGACAGGCAGTGCATTTTCTTGATTGATGGTTGATGTGGGAGGGCCCAGTTCACTGTGGGTGATGCCACCCTGGGTTGGTGGTCTTGGGTGCTATAAGCAACTAGTTGGGCCACAGTGGTGCACGCCTTTAATCCCAGCACTCGGGAGGCAGAGGCAGGTGGATTTCTCTGAGTTTGAGGCCAAACTGGTCTACAGAGTAAGTTCCAGGACAGTCAAGGATACACAGAGAAACCCTGTCTAAAAATAAAAAAAGGAAAGAAAGAAGAAAGGAAGGAAGAAGAAAGGAAGGAAGCAAGCAAGCAGGCTGAGAAAGAGCCAGTAAGCGGCACTCTTCTATGGCTTCTGCTTCAGTTCCTGCCTCCAGGTTCCTGCCCTGTTTGAGTTCCTGCCCTGACTTCCCTCAGTGATGGACTGCTACCTGGAAACTTAAGCTGAAATTATCCCCTCCCTCCCCATGTTGCTTTTGGTTATGGTGTTTTATCACAGCAAATCCTAACTTAGATAGGGTCTTGACAATGAACTCTGGGGAACACAGACATTTAGTCAGTCTATGAACATTTACGTCTCTGTTATAATAATGATGATAACAATAATAAAGAAAAACATCAAACTAAAAGAAAACTGTTCATCACATGTCAGTCAACACTCTGAAGAAGTGAACATATAAACTGTTTTAAGTTCTGTTGTTGGCTCTTTGGTTTTTGCCACAGGTGCTGGCTGTATCCCAGACTGGCTTGCTCACTACCACGCACAGGCTGGAAACTGAACTCACCGCTTTCCTTCCGTCCCTCAAGCTGGGGTTAGAGACAAGCCAACTGTGTCCCTTAAGCCATTGTGTGAAACTGTGAAACCTGGATTGCCTTGAAGACCCCAAATGTTGAGATGCTGGAGCTGAGGGATACCTGCCGAGGAGAGCTGCTAACAGGGAGTGGAACCAGAACAAGAGAGAGAAGTGTGCTGCAGTCAACAAAGCTGAAGGAGTTGGGCATCTGAAGAGCGCTTTGACATCACACATGAAGATGCGGACTTTGGAGTTTTCCCAGTTGGTTCCAGGTCTTGCTTTGGTCCAGCGTTTCCTCACTATGCTCCCTTTCCTCCCTTTTGGAATGGTAACGTGTATCCTGTGCCATTATATGTAGGAAATGTGTGATCTGCTTTTTCATTTTGATTTCACAGGGGCAACAGTTAAGAGATGCCATGAGTCTTGGAAGAGACTTTGGACTTTTAAACACATTTGAGAGGGCTGGAGAGATGGCTCAGTAGTTAAGAGCATTGCCTGCTCTTCCAAAGGTCCTGAGTTCAATTCCCAGCAACCACATGGTGGCTCACAACCATCTGTAAAGAGGTCTGGCGCCCTCTTCTGGCCTTCAGGCATACACACAGAATACTGTATACATAATAAATGAATAAATATTTAAAAAAAATAAACACATTTGAGACTGTGATAGACTACGGGGACTTTGAAGTAGGACTAAATGCATTTTGCATTATGACATGGCTGCAAGCCTATGAGGACCAGGGAGTAGAATGTGGTGGTTTGAATAAATGGCCCCCACAGACCCATACGATGTGGCACTATTAGGAAGTGTGGCCTTGGAGAAGTTGTGGCCTTGTTGGAGGAAGTGTGTCACTGGGGGTTGGAGGTTTCAGAAGCTCAAGCCAAGCTTGGTAGCTCACTCTCTCTTCCTGCTGCCTGCAGATCAGATGTGAAACTCCCAGCTCCCTTTCCAGCACCATGTCTGCCTGCATGCCACCATGCTTCCTGCCATGATAATAATGGACTAAACCTCTTAACTGCAAGCCAACCCCAATTAAATGCTTTCCTTCTAAGAGTTGCTGTGGTCGTGGTGTCTCTTCACAGCAATAGAAACCCTAATTAAGACATGCTCTTAAATGGACGAACTTTGTACTGCACATATCAAAGACGAACTGAGTAGTACAGTGTCTGCCTGGCACAGTGTCGGGGCTGAGTCTGAATTTTTATCACACACACACAACTTCAATAAAATTATGTTTTTAAATTAAAAGTATAGGGTTGGGTGGCATAGTGCTGGATGTAGCCCTGTTGTTAAAGTGGTTGTCTACATCCGTGAAGCCTTGCCTTCACTCTCTAGCATTAAATAAGCCTAGCATAGTGCATGCCTATAATCTATAATCCTAGCATTTGGGATACAGAAAGGCAGATCAGAAGTTCAAGGTCATCCTCTGCTACATAGCAAAGCTGAAGCCAGTCTGAGCGACATGAGACCTTGTTTCAAAAAAAAAAAAAAAAAAAGCAAAGCAAAGTTACGGGCTGAAGAGACGGCTCAGTAGTTAAGGGCACTTGCTCTTTCTATAGAGAATCCACATTCAGTCCTCAGCGCCCACACAGTAGCTCACAGCGCCTGTAACTCCAGCTCCAAGGCCCTGCTGATGTCTTCTAGCCTCCTAGGGCTCACGGACATATGTGGTGCACAAAACTCCTACAGGCTCATACACACCAAAAAATGCATTTTTCATTCTTTTTATTATATATATATATATATATATATGGGTGTTTTACCTACATGCATGTCTGCATCATGCGTGCAGGGCCTGTAGATAGTAGTTATTATACTAGATCTTATTTTCTTCCACATGTAGAACATGCATTCATATTCCTGTATATATATGTATATATGTGCATATATTAGTGGAGAGAGCACATATGTGCTAGAGATGGAATCCGTGACCTTGAATATGCTAGACAAGTAATCTACAATTGAGCTACATATTATTTCTGTTTTTACTATTGACTTATTTTATTTTACATGAATGATTGTTTTGTCATTATATATACTGTGTGTATGCCTGGTGTCCATGAAGCCAGAAGGGGGCATCAGATTCTCTGAAACTGGAGTTACATATGGTTATAGACAGTGAACTGCCATACGGGTACCTGGAAGCGACCCCAGGTCCTCTGCAAGAGCAGCAAGTGTCCTTCACTGCTGAGCCACCTGCCCAGCCCCTATATGTACATTTCTGCAAAGGCACTAGATGACATTGATCACTCATCCTCTCTCTTTCGGACAAGCCTACGACATTTACAGGTGTAGTGCTGCAAAGACCTACCGCTTCTCAGGCTGCACATTACTCCAAGGTACGAAAACTCAAGCTCATGTGCCCAGTCTGCCACCAGGCTTCCAGTAAGCTATATCGTTTTCCACCGCTTACAGCATGCAGAGAGGCTGCCCCAGAGCCGCCATGTATTCCCACCTCTTATCCCTCCCCCACCTTACGGGGCTGGGGATTGAACCCAGGGCCTAGGCATGCCATGGAGGCATATGGCTGCAACCAAAGCACTTAGGAACTGAGGCTGCAGGATTGTGAGTTCCAGGCCAACCTGAGCTATATAAGCAAAACGCTGCTTCAAAAATCCAACGGGGGTTGACAAGATGACTTAGCGAGCAATGGCACTCACCACCAAGCCTGACAGTCTAGGTGCCATCCCAGGACACAAATGAGAGAAGAAACTCTCATGAGTTTTCCTCTGACCTATACACACACACACACACACACACACACACACACACACACCCCTACAGAGATCCCCCTGTCCAAGCCTCAGGACCCATGGACATACAGGTCAGACCCCTATAAAATTTCTCCCTGGTTTCAGCCTAGCACTATATACCTTAGTTTTTATTGTTTCTTCTTCCTATTAAATCATGGCCAACCAATAAGATGGGCTGTCCCCATCACCATGAGCATTCGAGGCAAATCAAAAAGGTCACCTAGTCATGATGAAAGTGGCTCCTAGAGGAGTCCCTTAATTCTAAGATGCTGCATCTTGGTGAAGCAGAGGATCCACTGTCAGTGACTTGGGACCAGAGAAAGGGCAAATCTCACAGAGTCTAGCATCAACCCGACTGCTCAGATGGGCCACACCCAAAGACACAAACACACCAACATGTGAATGAGGCAGAAACACTGCTGACAGGGCAGGGCACCAATGACAGCTCTCTTCCTTGACAGGCAAACCCACCCCCAGCTTCATAACTGCACCCTAACAGTCATGGGGACATGTGGCTGACTGTCCAGGGTCTGAGGAGCACCAGCTTCATAACTGCGCCCTAACGGTCATGGGGACATGCGGCTAACTGTCCAGGGTCTGAGGAGTGCTTTTATATAAGGCGTCTACACGGTACCTGCAGTCTTACATAAGGCGCGCTGGTATTTTTAGCAGCATGGAAATGCAGTGTGAACAGAGCGGCGCTCTCAGTGCACATGCTGGGCTCTGCAGCCGGCCCGGGCCTTGCGATGATGCTCTTTTGTTGGCAGCTCGCTGCTGAAGACCGAGGTCTGGGCTGGGGCTGCTGTAACACCCAGGAAGACCCAATGCCTGGCAACTAGCCATTGGAAACACACGTGCCCTCGCTCACTCACCCCTGGCCCATCCAGGGAGCAGAACGGGGACAGTGTCCAAGCCCAGTAGCTACCTGCTAGTTATGTGAGCTCTCTGGCAGAGTCAGTGCCGAGCAAGGGGCATGAGCAGAGCTAACCCTGGCTCTCCCTCAACCTCCAAACCAACTCCTTCTAGAACATGGAAGTCCATTCTCAAGTCACCTCCTGCTTGTCACTGAAAAGCCAAGATTCCAGGAAAAGTCAGTGAGGTGTCAGGTGTGTGACCCTTCTATAAGGGAAGAGAGTGTTGCGTCCACCACACCCTAGCGTCAGGCTCACGGCAGCCCCTTTTCTGTTTTAGAACATTCTATTGGCATATAATACATACAGGGAAGGACGCACCAAGCCCCATGAGTAAATTCTGGGTTTAGGGTCCAGCTCAGATGTTGACTCCTTTCTTACATGATGAGGCTCTGAGCCCTGTCCTCAGCGCCACAGGGTGGGGTGGGGTGGGGACTGATGGATTCTGACAGCATGAACAAAACATGTGACCAACCAGATTTTAAAAAAAAGAGCCAGATAAGGCGGTTGCAGGAGGACCATTTGAACCCGAGTTCAGGGCCAGCCCGGGGAACACAGCAGGTTTTCAGCTATCCTCCTGCCTCTGGAGTAGCACTATGCTGACTTACGGCTGCCTCAGATTTCAGCCAGCATGACTGATTCAGGGTGCAGCTGCGGCTGTGGAGTGCCCATTCTCTCCACAGCGGAGCTCCAGTCCCTACATTTGCCCCCACTTCTACGTCCAGTCCCGCTGGGGACTCTGAGTCCTTCCCAGTTTAACTGGGTATTAACAGCGCCTGTGTGAATGTAACATTCCTTTCCACTATAGCTACTTGTCCACTCAGAGAGACTTATACAATGTTGAAAATACCTGCTCTAGGCCTTGAATCTTAGAAAAGCCGGTCTGTTCCTCTCCAGTTCCCCCATTCATTCTTAAATCATAGTCTTTCACTGTCCATCCGCACCACACAGGGCTAAGACACAGAGGACAAACTTTCCATTGCGGACCCGTGCGTCACCTGACAAACGCTACTTCTCTGGGCATCAGTTTCTGACCTGGAAAATGGGGGTAATAGTAATACTTTTTAACTTTCCTTGGTCGGGAATTAAATAAGGAAACTGCATCTGGAAGTTCTTGACCCATACTTTTCTCTTTCTTTTTTGTTTGTTTTTGGTTTTTTTAAAAGTATTTTTAGAGATTTATTTATTTTTATGTGCACTGGTGTTTTGCCTGCTTGTATGTCTATATGAGGGGGCTGGATCCCCTGGAACTGCAGTCACAGACAGCTGTGAGCTGCCATATTGGTGCTGGGAATTGAGCCCTGGCCCTCTGGAAGAGCAGCCATGCTATTAACTGCTGAGTCATCTCTCCAGGCCCACACTTGGTCTATATTAATAGCTTGTGGCTGCTGCCAAAGGCATCCTTGTCTCCCTTCACACCTCTGAGATGCCCTGTTCTAGGTCATAACTATGAACAAGGCCTCTGACAACTGAAGAAAACTGGCTTGCCCACTGTGGGGCTGAAGAAGAAAACTGGCTTGCCCACCGTGGAGCTGATGAAGAAAACTGGCTTGCCCACCCGGGGGCAGATGAAGAAAACTGGCTTGCCCACCCGGGAGCTGATGAAGAAAACTGGCTTGCCCACCCCTCGAGCACCTGCTTTACCTCTTCCTGACAAGCATCCGAGATCAGAGGCAGAATAGCTCTTACGCATGAGTAGTGGGTATCACTCAAAAGATGACCTAAACCAGGGTCATTACCCTGGGGTCATCACCATGGCGAGCAAGCTGCCTGGTGACCGGCTGGGACACCCACGATGTCAGAAGCCACTGGTTTGAAGAGGCAAAAAGAATTTAATAGCTACACAAAAAGAACGTGAAGGG